GATTCCTATTTTAAGGTGATTATACACTAATGAAAACATACCTATGAATATTATATTCCATTTCGGGTAATAGATCCTTCTACATGTTACACATTGGACCTTTAAGGGTGACCTTTTGTTCATGGAGTGTAATTAAATCCACTAATACAGGGACAAATATCCCTGCTCAAACCCTCAGCGCTCCACTAATGAAGCCATGAAAACAAACACACATCACTACAGTTAGTCTTTGTTTGGCTGGTTTGTGTGTGTATGAGAGAGCAGGTGTATCTGTCAGTAGCTGTCGTCCAACATGATGACAAAACAAATTGCTTATAAGCTTATTGTTTTGTCATCCAATAACCCAAACTGAGGTGTACATACAGTAAGCTGCTTATGGCACAGAAAAAGAAAGGGTGTAGTTAAAATTTTCTGTTTTTCTGTCCGTCTGGCAGCTGAGGAAAGAGCAGGTGGAGTCAGTCAATGTTGGAGGGACCAAAAATGTCATAAACGGTAAGAATACATGTATTTATATATTCAACAGCAAGCATCCTGCATACACTGTGATGAATAAATCTGATTAATTATGAATATCATTAGAAATATAATTGGTCTATTGTGTGTTTTTAAAGATTTTCATAGCTCACTTAGCGTAAAATAAAATAAAATATGGGAGCAGAGATATTTTTAATGCTTCATACAATTAATGTCTGCAATAGTGAAGCTTAATTTGATATATATATATAAGAACTTGAGGTAAATAGGTGTGATAACTTTTCTATGTTGCTCTCTTTCAGTGTGTAAGGAGAGGAGCATCCCCAGGCTGGTGTATACCAGTACCATCAATGCTGTGTTTACTGGGAAACCAATTGAGGAGTGCGATGAGGCCACAATGCCGTATGTGCCCCCCGACGTAGTGAGTAAAAAAAAAATAATAATAAAACCATATCAACTGAAATGTTTCCCACAAACTCTTATAAATGTCCCATCACTCACGTATCACCGAAAACATGGAATGAAGACCCCAACAAAAGACCGAAATTTGTAAATATCCTATACATTTGCCAACAATAAGACATTTTCGGCGCTCCAGAGGACAATATAATGCCAACCATAAAACTATTTCTTTCTTTTCCCAGCACATCGACCACTACTCCAGAACTAAAGCGATTGCGGAGCAGATGGTCCTCTCTGCCAATGGATGCTCCCTGAAAGGTGTGAGCGCGATCAGTGTGTGTAATGACAGCATAATCACAGAACTACATGAAAAAATAAAAGAGGAGTGGGTGGGGAGCAATCAGAGGAGACTGCAACCCTAGTCTTTTGGTTTTCTCTGTGAAAAAATGTTTGTTGAAAGCAGTGAGGCGGTGGTTGCCATGGAAACTGGAGGGTGCAATCCAATACGACACCAGTTTAAATTTGGAGCTTGGGAGGTCGGTCCGTCGTGCAGCAGCAGCACACAATTTTCTAGTATGTTATAATGGGTTTCAGGTTCCTCTATGTTCTTTACATTAACAGGTGTGAAGCCTCCTGTTTCCTCCTTCAGTGCAACACTACACCTGACCACCACCTTATACATTCAATTAAGCTCAGAGCTAAGAGCTGTCTCATTATATGCTGCAGGTTAAAGTTCATGTATCTGCCACAGGAGGATGTTTGTTTTTCTTTTCCACCGCCTCAGGCTGAAAGGTGTGGTGGCATAAAGACGCCTCAGAAGTTACTCACTCACTACAATATATGCTACTTGCTACGCTACAATACTACTTTTCTACTCCAGCAGGTTGAAGTACAGCTGCCAGTTTTCACATTAACATTTTACATTTAAAGGTCCAGTGTGTAATATTTAGGAGGCTCTGATTGTTTCTACAGTAGCCCAGAATGGACAAACCAAAGAAGTGTATTCGTGCATTTCACTGCCACCATAGTTTTTCCTTTGCATTTGGAAGGGGAGGGAGAAGTGAGGGAGTTGTGATCTGCAACTACACTGCTATATGTCACTAAACCCCACATACTGGACCTTTAAAAAACATGATAGATTTATAAAATACTATAATAATGCATAAGAGTAAACCAGTTCCAGCCTTTTTTGTTAATAACCCCGCACAAAAAAGAAGTAATTTCCCCTCTCAGCGTCTCAGATGTTTGCATGTAAGTACGAGGCACAAAGAGCTAAAATCCAATATTTCAAAAAAGCAAAACTCTGAAATCAGTAAATCTCAATATAGCCAATTCCGATTTGTCACAAAATGCCTTGATCGGCGCTGAATGGATCGGGACATCCCTAATTACGATACCAGTACCCATAAAGTGATACGTATACCAATAGAGTATCATTCAGTACCTGGTGTTGAAGAAGCCATAGTGCATAGAACATAGTGCAGCCGTTTACCTTCAAGTTTTCTTTCTTTCTAAGGTGCTTCATCATGTTACTCATATTTTTATTTACCCAGTTTTTGCTGAAATAATCATTCTGCATTTTATGCATTTATTTATGTCAGTCAGTGTAGTATTGCCATACTTTTGAATGTTTTAGTGGCATCCAACACCACACTCGACTTCACCACAGAGGTGTTAAATCGAAGAACACTGTGATTGGCTGTGAGCATAACCACAAAAATAGTAATATTTTTTCTAATGAAAGTTTTGTTTGACTGGAGAAGTTTCAATACTAATTCGTTCTGGGTTATTTCGGTCAATACTTTAAAGGTATCAAATACCAAGATCCAGCATGTGAAAAAGCTTCTATATAGCTAAAAATATGCTGAGAATGATCACTAAAGTTTGTTCTTAATTTGGCTTTAATGCCATCATGTTTCAAAAAACAAATAAAAACATATTCAGCGAATGTTTAAATCCTCTCTTATAAAGGGGGAGGCCTGCTTCGGACGTGCGTCCTGCGGCCATCCGGCATCTACGGCCCAGATGAGAGGAGACACCTTCACAGAGTGATGGTGAGAGACTTTCATGTTTTATGTCTTATGATGAAGATGAATTGTTTTTGTGTTGGCACTGGAAAAAGTATACATCTTGCAGTGTCTGAAGCCTCCTTGGCAGAATGTGTTTCTGGCTGAAGAGTTTACATTATTGATAGAGCTCTCCAGGCATCCAGTTACGTCCCCCTTTTCTTCCAGCCTGTCGTCTACGAAGCCACAGTGCAGTCTGCTGAAGGGCTGCATGTGGTTGGTTATGTTCTGGGTTTAGTGGCCAAGACGGTTGACGTTCTATATACTGCATATTGTAGGTTGCCTACAGCCTTATCCACCAGCCTGGAGTTAATTAGTACAAAAAATTATTTATATGATACCAGAAGTTATTATATCTGCAAGGCAGTTAATACAGTACAGTATGAGAACAGTTAAATCATCTGGAGCCAGGATGACTTCTGCCAACTTTCTATGGATTTTATCTTTCTGTTATCTATGGTCTCCCTTTCTTTCAGCACAAACTCAGCTGTAAAGTCTGACTTCTTATTTTGTCAATTGAACTGTGTAAAGCTGCCAGAAGCACAGAATATATGTCTTTTTAAATGGCACATATTAACAACAACAAATCTTTAGTCATAATTGCTCAAAAACAGAAAACAAATACAGCAGAAAATGTGCGAATATAAGACTATAACATACACCGTAATCAGCCAACATTACATTATAAGAACTGACAGGTGAAGTGAATGACACTGATTATCTGGTTATCATGGCACCTGTCAGTGGGGGGGATATATTAGGCACCAAAGTGAAACATTATTGTCCCTCCAAAGTGTGATGTGTTAGAAGGCAGGAAAAAATGGGCAGCGTGAGGATCTACACTAATAATAAACAACCCTGAATGATGATGTTCCACTGTTCGAGTAGGAGCCGGTGTCACAAAGTGTTCTAATTTTTTGCTTGAGTTTCCTTTTTTTTCCAATCAGTAACTTCTCCTGTCATTTCGGGTACCTGTTATTCCTCACCTGTTATGTAGTTGCCACACCTGTTCCTGATTTCCCCAGTTGTCTGCCAGATATTCTACTACCCAGTCCTGACAGTTGCAGCTTTCGGTCCTGTTTGTAACCTGCCCTGTTCCCGTGTTCTGCCTGCTTGCCCCTCCCGCTGACTGAATCAACCGTGTTCTGTGTGTTAACCTGTTAGCAGCCAGTCTCCAGTCTTGCCATGTAACAAAGCAATAGATGAAAGCAACAAACACATGGCCAGAAAAACACACTGAAAAATTTAATACCACATAAAGCAAACCTGTCTTCTTTGTTTGTCCCTCTGTCCCATCTCTCTTCTTAGGGGAATGTGGACGGGCGACGGTTGTGTTGTTTTCAGGTTTGTGACCACCCAGTGGCCAGGAATGAACTGGTACACGTAATAAACCTGGTGTTGGCACACACCTGCAGCCGAGGGGTCTCACACGGGCAGAGGAGTCTATGTCTCAGTGAGTCGGGACCAAACACAACCATGACATCCCAAAGATCTGGAGGTAACCTGTGCCACTAATAAAACCACACAGAATAAATCAAAGCCTACAGATTCACAAGCATCAATAAAACAGTTTGGAAGTGTAATTCCCTGGTCCAGTGTGCACTTATACCAATGTGATGTAGAAAACCTTGAAAGCCTCCATGCACATACCCTGAGGAAATGGACTTACATGAAGTTAGGAAACATCTTGTGCCAGGTAGGAAAACTTTAGACAATTGAACAAAATGTCATAATCAGTAGAATTGTTTGAAAAAATCTTTAAATGAAGCCAGGAAAAGGAAGTAGATGGGTCTTTTTTAAAGGACTTTTCAAATGTGGAAATTATACTTTTTTTTTTTGGACAAACAAATAACCAGAAAAACAACAACCCCTTTCGGCAGTTATTTTTTTAAAAATGTATTGTTCCATAATACATTGTCCTGAGGGGGATCTTTTTTAAAGAATAATGTGCCCATTGTTTTTGTTCTGTTTCTTTTTTCAAAAACAGAGTGGACAAGTTCCCTTATTCCCATTTTAATTGATGGAAGTTTCAGTCAATGTTTTTATTTTGAAGTGGGTTGAGAAAACCAAATTGGTGAGTTTTAAATTGACATGGACATTTTTTTCCTTATTATTCAAGCAATCTCAAAAACACCAAAAAACCATAACCAAGTGAACAATACTAACAAAGGGTTTATGGTCTGTGAGTAGCTTAATTATATCTTTATTCTGCTGTTTCCAAATAGAGCTTCCCCAAACATAACAAAACACATAATTTGAAGGCATCAACTGTTGTTTCTGCGGTGACACTTTTCAGTAGAACTAATGGGGGTCCTTTTAGGGTTTCTTTGAGGGTGGGCCTCGCAGATGGACCTGACTCAAAATGTTGTTTTAAATTTTGTTCGCCATTTTCATGAAGATTTTGGTTTTTGAAATTTTAACTTCCCTTTTTGTTTTTCAGAAAAATGTTTTCTATGGCAGTTTTTGAAAAAATCTTGGGGCCTTAACAGGCTGAACCCGCTGAAATGCTTTTCTGGTTTTTCAAAGAATCGTCTATTTTAGCAGGTAAAGCGCACCTTCATACTCCAGGGTTGTTTTTTTGTTTTTTTAAATAATGGTTTGGGTTTGGGTGTTTTAGCTACATAATAACTTCTTAATGTGTTGAAGTGTTTTTTTTTTCTTTATTTCGCCAATTGGGGCTAGCAATTATTTCTAACAAATTTTCTGAGACGTTGCGAATTAGAAAATGTGGCTTTCTCCTAATTTACAAAAGTTGAAGGTATCATTAATCGCCTTCTTTTTTGCCTCTGCTGCGCTTTTTTTAAAAACCTTTATTCTGTATTTGAAAAAAATGAACCCAAGTTGGTGCCCCTCATCTTGAACATCACGTCTATTTGGTGTTTTTTTTTGAAAGAAGTTAAACAATGCTTGTTGGGAACCTGTGTGTTGTGAAAACACATTGCATGAGGTTTTTAACATACTGTTATACGCGTATTGACAAGGCCTTGTATAAATGTTTGGCAGAAATGTGGTTAAACGCTGCCTTGTGAGGGCGCAGATTCTTATTTTAAAGTCTCCTCCCACAACAGTGAAGACAGAAAACCTTCCCAAAAAATTTAGGGCGGTTATTTTGCCCTAATA